GGTTCTTGGGAGTTATTGGATGTTATAGGGAGGTTTATAGATGTAAGACAGTTGGTGATAAAATTAAGGGATTTAGATAAAAATGTGGTAAAAATCGAAGTGAAATATGTAAAATATGGGTTAGAGTATTAGTACTAGAAGAACAATATTTATACTATAGCTTGAAATTTGAGGAATGAGGATGAACACGAATAATATCGATACTTATGCAATTAGTATCGATACTGAAGTAGGGTATCAGTACTAATAGGAAAATATCGATACCATTATTGAAAAATGGATTCCAGAATGCTAAAATGGGTATCGATACTGAAGGGAGTCGGTACCATAGTATAAAAGTATCAATACCATAAGGGGGTACTGCTACTACTTAGCCTGGAATTGTAAGTTAGGATGAATTTTAATAGAAATTGAAAATAATACTACTTTTGAGTATTATTAAAAGTATAAATGTTAGAGAGCATACTAACATTTGTATTGTATGTGTATGAATATGGATACTTGTGTAGCTCGTAACCAAACTCCATAGTCAAGAAAGAAAAATGGCAAGAATAAAGTTGTCGAATAGTCAGACATCATTGCAACATACTAGTGAGGCATATCAGGTGATTGCATTTATTGTATTTCTATGAAACAGGGAGACTTGCGACGAGTCAACCTCAAATGTTTTGATAAAGTATGTTTTAAAGTACTTTGATATATTTTCATAATAGGTATTGAAATGATATTATAAATAAATTTTAGAGTGAACTGCTCTAAAAATAATAATGAACGTTGATGTTGTTAGTGGTTATCAATATTGCAGAAATAAATGTCTAAATCTGTGAATTTGACTTAAAAGCCCATGTATGTGCATTGAGAGTCATATGAGCATTTTGACATACTTCATGTATGATGGTATCGATCAATTTTGTATAATGCAAACGGTGCATTTTTGTATCAATACTATGTGTTCTTTTGGCACTATATATGCAATCATGGTATTCATAATGAGTTTGTGAATTACCATTTCGATATACAATTATGTATATAAGTTATCGATCGATTTTGTTTAATGCATAATGGTGCATTTTCGACACTAAATGTGCAACCCATGGTATTCATACATTGTATTCTCATTTGACATACTTGGAAAAATAAAGGATAAATTAGAAAATACGAAATTATCGGTATGATGGGCATACTAAAGATAGTTATCATGCTATTTGAATGAAGATTGGTTCGCCAAGCCAATGTGAGCATTGATATGAATTATACGATGCTCATTCGTATTTTGAATTGTGATATGCTTATATTTAAGTAATTCATTTTGTATATTATGCTCATTAAGTAAATACTTATCATGTTGATTTCACATGTAGGAAATAACAAAGACTAGCAAAGTAAGGAGTGCTACAGATATCATCAATCCAAGGTTGACTCGTCAGTAACTGTAGGAATTATGTCTATTTTGATAATTAGCTGGCATGTATTTGGACTTAAGAAAATGATCTGGAATGTATTAAAGTTATAATTTGTAATATGTTACAATGAACATTTATATTATATTAAAACATTTTTATTTCGAAATAATTTTTATGAGTTACAAATAAGAATATTTTTAAAAATTGAAACCTATGACTTGTACGGAAACTTATCCAAGAATGGGTGTTTATGAGGGAGCATTGATGGAGGCGTTTTGTGATGGTGGTATTGGATGGCTATGACGGAGTGGCTCGGTGAAGATTTGGTCGATGGGTTTTTTTTTTTCTCAAGTTTTTTTCTTGGCTCCTCCTTCCTTTGATTGTATTTACAGTAACATACATGGTGAAGTTGTTGACTAGAAGCCAAGAATGTGATAAAGGCTCTTCAGCTGAAGAATTAGCGGGTCAGACGCTTGATACAGGCCAGAGCTTCAGTTTGGAGCAGGTGTAGTAGCTAGTTGGGGTATTGAAGCCCCAGATATTAAGAGATCATGTTCCATTTTTTTTATTTTTTTCTTTTGTAATTTTTTGAATTCTTTTAATAATAATAATAATGATAAAAAAATATAAAAAATGGATTAGAATGGTGATTACAATAGCAAAAATACGTTGAGAAAGAAATCTATTTAATAAAAGTAGTCTCAGGTCTCGCTTTGCCTCAATCCCATTTGATCATCAAAGATAATTTTACTCCGGATATATGTCGGTTACAGTCAAGGCCCAACACATAAACTTACTTTCTCCCTGGTAAACCAACAATCCTAAGCCTATCTTCAAAATTTAGTTTTTAATCACTATTTTGTAGTTTTAGTTTTGGAAAAGTCCGATAGGGTAATGTTGTCTTAATGAGAATCAAACCTAATCTCAATTTCCCTTAGTGGACCACCGCTAAATATGTTCACAGGAAGTCGAACTTGCTACCAGTCGATTCTTCCTCCCAACTTTAAATTAGAACAACATTCAAACCAACGAGCTCTTTTTAAAATGAAAGTGTTAAGATTTTTAAAGGAAAGACCGATTGTCAATCCAAGTTTGCAAAAAATTAAGAATAATATCCGAAGGTATTAAGGTTTTCAATTCTCATGTTTGGAATTGAGTCATCATTTAGCCCTTGGCTAATTGAGAAATTAGCTAAGCATGATATAAATCATACTTAACATATTTGAAAAAGAAAGTAAAAGCTAAAAACAAAGATTAAAGGAAAAATAGTTTTGATAAAACAAAACCCCAAAGAAAAAATAAATCGAATGTAAATGTGTTTTTCAAGCTGCACCCTAAGGGTATTTATAGCCTTCTAAAACCCTAAAATGAAGTAGAAAACTAAAGATAATTCTTGAAAATATTCAAATAAAATCCTAAAAAAGTGATAAATCCTAATTCTAATTTAAACTAAATTTAAACATGCCCTTCTAAAAATGCTAACTGGACTGCCTTCTAAAAGTTGTTGACTGAGCGCCACGTCAGATGCTGTCATGACCCGAATCATGCCCACTACTCCATACTTGACTCTAGAAAATAAAAAAATGCAGAATTCACATTTTTAGTGTTGTTGTTTAAATTTAATGTCCTGCATAATAAACGAATAAAAATACCTAAATCAACCCCATTACTTAATCAATAAAGAGTAATTAAAGATAAAATAATAACAAAAACAAATCACTCATCATTATATAAGAAAATAGTGTGTCAAAGTGTGAATCTAAGATAATAAATAATATAATATTAATTAAAAATATAAAAATGCTTAAAAAAATTCAACCCAAATATAATTACTATTACTAATTTAACCACTCAAACAACCAAACATTATTTATAAAAGATTGCGCATTGCTAAAATTGTTTTCCAAAAGGCATGATGGGATAGATTTAAGTGTTTTTTTTATAAATAGTTATATACTATTTTTTAAAATAAAATTTTGAAAGTGAATTTTAGCTAAAGGATAGGAAAAACAAATTACAAACGACAAAACTTACCGATATAACATTTTTTTAAATTAATTTAAAATTTGGAAACAATTAATCTGTACCGTCAATAAGAACTCTAGTTTTTATACTAAAAGTTGAGATGATAATTTTATACGAACTTGATAGGTTTTGATCCGATTTGATCTAATAAGGTTAGTTTTTTATTTTATAAATTTAGATTTAAGTTGAGTTATTTAGAGTGATTGTATCGGATTCGAATTTAGGGTGAAAATCTGACTAGACCAGATATAGTGTTATGATAATCCTTTATATATTTAAATATAATTACAATAATATCTCTTGTATTTTTTTTTTCAATTAGATACTTATTTTACCTAATAAAAATGAATATATATAGGTCAAGATCATCGGGTCGGATTGGATGTGGGTGCGAATTTTAACTTAAAATATCGAGTCAGATTTCGGGTATTACGAAACCATCCTAAACTCAAGTTGGGTCAAATATAGGCAGAGGACTTCAATTTTAAGATTGAATTTGAATAGACTAAGGGTGTGTTTAGTAATGCTATCTAAAAACACTTTTAATTAAAAAGTTTGTTTTGACCACAAAATCAATATCAAATGGGTAAAAATTGAAAAGAAAAATATTGTGTAAACGGTGGTTTCAAACCAATAGTAAAAATTGGTATTTCTAACTTTTTCATTTCCAACTTTGTTTTTAGAAACCAATTTATATTTTTATCCTTACTAATGCATAGGCTCCACTCATTTATCCTAGAAAAGAACTTAGGAATTCAATTTCTTTTATTAATTATGTTTTTATATTTTGCTTTTAGAAACCAATTTATACTTTTATCCTTACTAATACATATGCTCCACTCATTTGTCCTAGAAAAGAAATTAAGAATTAAATTTCTTTTATTAATTATGTATTTATATTTTGTTTCAATAATTTAATACTAATATCTTTAAAAAATAATCTATTGTTTAATAATTTATTTTAACTATTTAAAATTAAATAAAATTTATGATTTATATATTAAAATATTAATAGTGAGTTATTATAAAATATATTTTTATTATAATTTAATTTAATTTATATTTTTTTATAGTCTAAATTTATATATTTTATTTAATAATAATTTCTTTTTAAATCTATTTATAATATATATATATTATTTTTTATTTTTAAATTGTTAAAATAATAATTATTTTATTTAAATTTTAAATAAATGGTTGTAGATAAATCAAAATAATTAAATATTATTTTAAAATTCAAATGTTAAAAAGTGTTGATAATATATTTTTTAATAAAATATTTCATATATAAAAATATTATTAGTGAGTTATTTAAAATACTTTTTTATAGTTTAAGTTGATATATTTTATTTATCATAATATTAATAAATGAAAATATAATTTAAATGATATATTTTTAATTTACGACATAATATTCAAAATGAACATTTTATCTTTTCAAAATTATTTTTTAAAAATAATCTCAAATAATTAAATTTTAAATTGTACTTTAAAAATTTATTTTAAAGTTCTTTTTATAACACTTTTAAATATCACTTTTCAAAAATAATGTCAAGCAACTAGAATCAAAACTATAGAGATCAATTATCGCAAACGAAATGGATAAAGAACAACAGCCACAAACATCACCTCATGTACTAATCTTCCCTCTCCCGGCACAAGGCCATGTCAACTCCATGCTCAAGCTCGCTGAGCTATTAGTACTAGCAGGCCTCAAGCTCACCTTTCTAAACTCCGATTTCGTCCATGAACAACTTCTTCGTCACACCGATGTTCTTTCCCGATTCGTCAAATATGAAGGATTCGAATTCCGGACTATACCGGATGGCCTCCCTGACGAGCATCCTCGAGCAGGTCATGGTATCATGGAAATCTTTGAAACTTTGGAATCGATAACCAAACCAATTTTCAAGGAGATGATGATTAAGATTAAGCCGAGAGTGGATTGCATAATAGCAGATGGGGTTATGGAGATTGCAGTTGATGTTGCTGAGGAGCTTGGAATTCCAGTCATTCAATTCCGTACCATAAGTGCTTGCTGTATCTGGGCTTATTCTGTAGTTCCTGATATGATCCAAGCCGGGGAGCTTCCAATCAAAGGTATTCATTTCCATAAATTATTTGGAGTCAAAAAACTTAATAATTGTTTGGATGGAAACAACTTAATTCTACTCATCTTGGCTATTTATTGTAATTCTTACAAAATAATTTTAAAAAATGTAAACTATTTAGGAAAGAGATTAGATCTGTTATACAATGTAAAATTCTTTAAGTTTTATACAAATTTAGGACCAATAGTGAGTGAAAATATATGATTGAGATTAACAATGATAACTGAGAAGATATTCACTTGAGAAAAGTAAATAGTTATTTATTTGCACTCATCCAACAGTCTTAAATTTGTATAAAACTAAAGAGTTTTACATCGTGTAAGTAAATTTAACCATCTATTTATGAATATATATTTCATTAAGATATATTTTTATTTTTATGTTTTGTAATTAAATTTCTTCAAATAAAATTTAATTAATATAAAATGGCCTCTTTTCTTAATAATTGTTTTATAAACATATAAAATAATAAGAAATATAAGGATATATACTTTAACTATTTTATGGGCCAAATAAATTTACTCCATATTTTTTAAAGAAAATAAAGTTGTCAAATAATAAGAAAGATGAAAAAGGATGGGACGAAAAATATTATTAAAATATAATTATAAATCAGTTGAATATTTTTAAAGTTTAAGAAGAACCTAAAATTCCACACACCAAGCCAGCTCGGTACCGAAGGAATTGCTATTAGGGCAAACTATGCGTCTAATACTTAAACTATCAGTTTTGATCTATTTAGTACCTAAACCTTCAATTTTTTTAAAACCATACCAAACGTTTAATTTTTGTTTCATTTTAGTACCCTTTCGTTAAAAACTTAACGCGTTTAGTACTTAAACTATCTGTTTTGGTCCGTTTTAATACATAAACTTCCAACTCTTTTCAAAACTAAACTATCCGTTTAGTACCTAAACTATTCGTTTTGGTCCGTTAAGTTTTTAACAGGATACTAAAATGAAACAAAAACTAAACATTAGGTATGATTTTGAAAAATTAAAAATTTAGGTACTAAAACGAAATAAAACTGATAGTTTAGGTACTAAATGAGTAGTTTACCCTTGTTGTTATTACTTGAGGCCTCGGGTTCGAGCACCATAAATTTCAAGGGTCTAAGCATTCAATGTCAAATGGTTGAGAGTTATCTTTGAATAGATAATATCTTATACTTATTCCATATTAATAAAAATAAATAAAAGAAGAAGAACATAAAATTTGACTTACGAACATGCTGTTTACCATAATATTAAACGATGCGTAAAATTTCAGTGTGAATTAAGTCTAGATCAAAAAGTTATTTTAGAGTTGAGGTTGGAGCTTTCATGTTAAGTTTTTATCGGCAGGGTATTACAATGAAATAAAAACATAATGTTAAGTATTATTTTAATAATAATGGAAAGTTCAGATACTAAAATGGACAAAAACTGATAGGTTAGGTACTAATCAAGTAGTTTATCCCAAATTAAAATGGTTTAGGGTTGTGAGAAAAAACTCGTCTCGCCCTCATTCATTATCATCCCCAGCTAACATGATGTAATATTTGAAGTGTTTGTTAAGTGAATTAATTGTTTTAATCATATTATGAGCTCTGAAAAACCTCTGTATTTGAAAAATATCATAGGAGAAGAAGATATGGATCGCCTAATAAAATCTGTTCCGGGCATGGAAACATTTCTTAGATGTCGAGATCTCCCAAGTTTTTGTCGAGTAAGTGACATAAATGATTTAACTCTCCAACGTATTGCCAAGTGCTCGAGAAAAAATTTCAAAGGCCATGGACTGTTATTGAACACTTTTGAAGACCTGGAAGGTGATATATTATCCCATATGCGAACCAAATCTCCCAAAATCTATACTGTCGGACCTCTTCATCTACACTTAAGGACCAGACTTTTCGACTCAAATCCAACGTTACTCAATCAATCCTCGAATAGTTTTCATGAAGTAGATAGAAGTTGCTTGTCATGGCTTGATAAGCAACCAAAGGGATCTGTTGTTTATGTAAGTTTTGGTAGCATTGCAGTTTTGTCAAGTGAGCAGATTTTCGAGTTATGGTTCGGACTTGTCAATAGTGGAAAGCGGTTTTTATGGGTTCTAAGGCCCGATAACATGCCCGAAAAAGGCGATAAAGGGATTAGTATACCAATAGAGCTTGTAGAAGGGACTAAACAAAGAGGGTGCATGGTGAGTTGGGCACCACAAGAAGAGGTCTTAGGTCATGGAGGAGTTGGTGGATTTTTGACCCACAGTGGATGGAATTCAACTTTGGAGAGCGTGGTGGAAGGGGTTCCCATGATCTGTTGGCCTTACTTTGCTGATCAACAAATAAAGTAGATTTGTGAGTGAAGTGTGGGGATTAGGTTTAGATATGAAGGATTTGTGATAGGCAAATTGTTGAGAAGATGGTGAATGATTGATGGTGGAAAAGAGGGAGGAATTAGTGAAATCAGCATCTAGAATGGCTAAGTTGGCAAAGAAATGCGTAAATGTGGTGGATTCGTATTGTAATTTAGATCGTCTAGTTGAGGACATAAAATCGATGAATATCAGTTGAAGATGTGGGGATTGAGGTGTGGATAGTCTTGATCTATAGTGTTAGTATTAAGCCTTGGGTCGACTCCTTAGAAGTTGGCAATTAGGGACGTAGTAAGTTAATCTAAGTGAGATATGCTTTTACTTTGAGCAATGTTCTTTTATCATGGTTTTCCATTGGATATGTTGGAGGCTTTTAGGTGTCGTCTAAAGCTTTTGATATAGGGCTCCAGGCTTGCTGGGGAATTAATTTGGTTGTGGTGTAGTAAATTTGGTGTTTTTTTTTTGTCACATTGGTTATCTTCTTGGTTGGCTATCTTTTTGTAGGTGTATTAATATTTTTCGTGGGTGTTGCTTGGTGTGGGGATTATTTCGCTCATGTATTCGATCAGATTATGGAGTTCTTGGTGTAGTTTGTATTGGTTATGGTCTTTGGTATGGGTTTGGTGTTATGCTAAATTTACTTTGGAATCGAGGGTATCCTCTGGTTTCGGTAATGTTGCATGTGAAGGTTGTTGGTGTGGTTTCATAGTCTGTTGTTGTCATTGTTTGACTTTGGACGGTTTTTGGTGGTTTGAGTATTTTTATGTTGTTGGTTGGAGATCGTCTGTGCTATTTGAATGGCAGTGGAAAGTTTTTGTCTAATTCTTTGTGCCATGAATATAGTGTTAAAAGTTAAACCGAAACGTGTTTAATATAACACTATAGAGACTATAACCCTCTGGTTATTAAATCATATCGGACCTGAAACGGATAGGTGAACTGGTTCAAATAATTATCTTGAAATAGTTATATGTTGAATCATCAACAAATCATTTATTCGTAAGCGGCTTTGGGTAGAAGACCGATTCGATGTTTTTGAAAATAAAATATATTTTTAATGAAAAGATGGGAGTCGCCACAAATTATTTTTAATGTGATATTTGAACACTTAAAATTGGTTAGTTTTAATAAAACATTTTATTTTACTAAAAGTATCAAGTTTTGGTCTACGAAATCAGAAACCGGGTTCGGGAGTCAGTTACACGCACACTCACAGTGCTCAAAATTTGTATCTAATCGATTACCTTATATTTTTAAAATTGAAAATTTTGAACTCATAATTTTATTTTATTTAAAACCCACTATGTATACATATTTTAAAAAGGATGTTGATTTATCAATATCAATAACGATCACCCTCGAGCAAAAGCAAGAGCTTCGTTATCAACCCCAATAAATGAGCATTGCCTTGATGATTTAGAAATCATGATGAAAGGTTTTGAAAAGGATGTTGATCTATTTCGAGAATCAATAGCGATCACCCCAGGCAAAAGCGAGAGATGCACTACTAATCCCTAATAAATGAACATAGCCTTATTTTAAAATCAAAACGCAATCAAACAATCAGTTATTGAACCTAATTATACTAAATGAATTAATTAAGGCTCACCTCTAACTTAAACTGTCAAATTATGAAATTTAAAGAACCTAGGAGATTAAGCCTTAAAATATAGGCTCTAATATTAATCCAAATCACTTTTAATAAACTATTGAGTCAAATAATCAAAATGGAACCTCGAGCATAAAAGCGAGGACCAAATAAAAAATTCTCCTAAATTAAAGGATTATAGTGAAATTAAAACTAAAACGGAAGCTCTAAACGTTAGCCTAACTAATTTTAACCAATTATTGAATCTAATGGTCAAAATGGAACCTCAAGCATAAAAACGAGGACCAAATAAAAAATTCTCCTAAATTAAATGAGTAAACTGAAATTAAGCCTAAAGTGGAGACTCTAATTATTAATCTAGTCCATTTTAACGAATTATTGAATCGAATAATTAAATGGAACCTCGAGCAAAAATAAAGACCAAATTGAGAATTCCCCTAAAATAAAGGACTAAATATGAAATTGAGCCTAGAGTGGAGGCTCTAATTGTTAACCTAGTCCATTTTAACCGGTTATTGAATATTCATCTAGTTTAAAAGTTTAGGGACTAAATTAAAATGAGTCTAATCATAAGAACTAAATCTCAAAGACTAAGTAATCTAAATTATAAATAAATTAAAAGAACGTAAAATTACCAATAAAAAATTAATGGTAATTAAAATACATAAAAGGAATAAATTAAAATAATTAAAAAACAAAAATTAAAACATTAAGTAAAAGGACTAAAATGAAAGGAATCAGAGTAAAAGCTTAAATTAAGATAGTGCAGAAAATTAAAAGCTGGAATTTGAAATACTGAAATATAAATGCTGAAATAAAAAATACAGAAAATTAAAGGGGTGAAATGTAAATAACAGAAAATAAAAAATCGAATACAATTAAAGGTTAGGGGTTAATTTTTTTAATTCTTACCCGTACTATAAATAACGTGAATCATACATCAGGGTGGCTCATCATGAAGTCGTAAATTATTTCGAATATTTTTAGAAATTAGCAGTTAGAAATTAGTAAATAAAAAGATAATAAATTAGAAATTAAGGGTTATAATTTTATCTGGCTCATATAATGTGGGTCATATCCTAGGAGGGGTCACGCAAGGCCTTATTAAGTGTTTAATAATAATAATAATTTAAAAATGAGGACTAAAATGTAATGAAATAAAAAAGTAAATAAATTATAAATAAAACAGTAAATAAAACGAAAATTTAAAAAATCAGAGCATCATATTCAAAATATAGAAAACACGAGGAGGTGGTGTCCAAAATGGAAAAACACAGTAGAGTTTCAGTTACTAGAGAGTGATTAATCCATTTTCCAAAGATATTTAACCCATATGTTTACTAATTTGGGTAATTTTTCATTTTAATCTAAAATAAATCCCATTTAGTCTATAGAAGCTTTCAACCCTTCTCTCCCCCTCTTCAATCATGCGGCCGAGGAAACCAAAAGCCCCAAGCCAATGCTGCCAGCCAACCACCTGTTGGGAATCACAGTTTTTCCCGCTTTGTGAAGTTAAGATAGGCACTTAGAGATTAAGGATTGTAAAGAGAGCACAAAAATATAATTCTCCAATTTGGAGATTCTTCCACTATACAAAAGAATAGTAGGATTATAAGGATGTGTTCACAAAATGACTCACACTTGGTGGCTCACTCAAGCTTGAGGGTAAAGACTTCCCAAGCTATATCTCTTCTCTCTCAAAGAGGCTCTCTAACTCTCTAGTTTCTCACTCTAAGAAGTAGATTTTCTTAGTGTTTTTGGAACTCTTGGATTTTGGATGGTTAGGAATGAAGTCTTTCACCCCTATTTATACTACTCCACCTCCACAATGAATGGTGGAGATTATTTACATCCAAGGGTGGAGATTGATTATCTAGAATGCTCCACACACTCTAGGAAGCTCTACACTCTTCCACTCCCTTCCATATTCTTCCATACTCTTCCATAAGGTTCCACATATCTCTATAAGGTTCACACATCTCCAGAATATTCTAGAGGATTCCACACATCTCCAGAATATTCTAGAGGATTCCACACTCTTCCACAAGCTTCTAGAGAGTTCTACACTTCTCTAGAGTTCTTCAGAATATTCTAGAAAATTCTACACTTCTCCAGAAAGCTCTAGAATTTTCTAGAACCTCTCCAATTAAGGAGAGATCCAACACTACCATACTTTGGGAGCCATTCTACACTTCGACTGAGGAGCCCAAACGTCAAAACACTCGAACCTTGCTTTTATCCTTCTTGTTTTGTTTCGATCGAGACCCTCGTGAACCCGCTGCCGTCGTAAATCAACTTTGCTACAAGCCCCACCATCTCTGGTGGTGGTCGGGCGAACCTAAACAAAACTAAACAACTCTAAAGCCACCTTCTTTATAATCTAACCCCTAAAACAATACCCAAAAAAATGCTAAACTACCCTCTAGACGATAGAAAATTGCAACTCTTTTACTCCCTCGCTCGACGACCGACGACCATCCCTACTCCAGCGACGAGATTACCAACAAAAGGTAACGACCTCTCCTTTTTTATTATATTTTTTATATTAAAAAAACATAGAAACCAAGATGAAAAAGAAACCTTTGAGATGCCCTTGTCTGGTATTGTTTTTGTTTTTGTGGGGAAAAACATCCCTATTATAATGTTTTTTAAGAGAAAAATGGTAACTTTACAAGGTTTCTTTCGAGAGAAATTGAGAGAGCCTTTTGTATTGATTCACTGTTGTCGTAACTGCCCTTCGGGTGGGCCCGAAATCGGGTTCTGACTTAATTTTGATGTGATTGAGCTGCCACTCATCATTTAAAATTAGGTTGACCGGATACCTTAATTAACCATCTTACCTGATATGAGTTTTACCAAAAAATAATCGGATCCGGGAGTCAATTACAGTCAAGGAAGGATTAGCACCCTTGTACTACCTTTCGGTACCAATTTAATTTTCAGTTGTCTTAATTGTGAAAATTAAAAGTTAAATTAAATATTAAAATTTGATTCGAATTACTTACCTTTGATCGATTAAAATTGCCCCTAAAAAGTCAAAATCATTATACTATAAAATAAAATAAATATTAAATAAATCAAAAAGGGGAAAAAGGTTAAATTAAGAAAATAAAAAAAAATAAAAATAGTAAAAAAATGTTAAAAGAGAAAAATAAAATAAAATAAACAAAATTTTAAATTTCAAAGGAAATGAAATATAATAAAATATAAAAAATGTTAAAAGAGAAATAAAAAAGTAAAAAATGTATAAAATTTAATAATAAAAAATGAAGAATATGTTAAAATTAAAATAAATAAATAAAAATTTAAAGGATAAAATTAGAGCAATTGAAATCTATGGATAAATTGATGCTAAAAATGAGTTGCAAGAGAAAAAATAAAAATTAGGGGGTCAAATTGCAAAAAAAAAAAAATAGGGACTAAATTGAAACAATTTAAAATTTTAAAGCCAATTTATAACAGGTGGCCAAAATGAATTACATTTCAAACTTCCAAGGACTGTAAAAATAATTTAAAATTCTTGTATTTACACCCTAGTCCCTCGTTATAAATACCCTAAAAACAAAAAAAATCATTTTTATATCATTCCAAAAAAATCTTCTCAAAAAACCTCTCAACCCTCTCCCTATTTCTCCAAACCGGCCCTATGGTCGACCATCCTCCCTGGTGGGATGCCACCACCTGGGCCACTATCAAACGCCACTCCAGTATCGCCACCAGTGGCCGAAAAGAATCTAACTTCACCAAAACGTTCCTCCTGTCCTCCTTAACACCAATCTGAAACTCGATTGCACAAAAAGGTACCACATCGGCGTAGATCTACAAAAAAAAGTGTTTGGATTTTTTCCTTTCCGGTGAGAATCATGCTTTCCCAGTGAGCTTTTACTTTCCGATGAAGTTCCTCCGCGTCCTTGGCGTTCTCCCATGAAACAAAGCTTTAATCTTTGTTTTCATTTCTTTCGATTTAGAAAAATTTTTTGTTTGGGATTTCATATATTTACCGAATGTTTGTTTTTTTGGTGTTGATGGCTTTTGTGGCTTTGTTTATTTGCTGATATGCTGCTTGGTTGCTCGATTTTTCTTGGGTTATTCTTGTTCTTCAACAGTTTTTGGTGGGGGTATTTATACCCCGCTCACCGGTGGTTATTTCTGGGTAAAATGGGATGGTTCCCTGGTCTCCGTGATCCTCAGGCCGTTCGAATGTTAGTGTGGC